TACACAATGTAAATTTTCGGATCACAATTATAGCGACCGAAAAATCCCTGTCCGCCTTCGAAAAGAATTACCCATATGTCATAGGGTAAATAAACACAATAATGCACATTTTCATTTTAAGTATTTCTTCTACTCAATCGGGAAGGCATTTGAGAAACAGTGAGGTTTTGTTTATAAAATGAAATATTATTTATTGTGTCCGTACTTGTTATAAATTTAAACAAGATGACTTTTTTTTTTATGGTGTATACTGTATTTTACACTTCAATAGGATTAAGATTTGTCGCACAACACAAGCCCAGATTTCATATAGCCTTGTGATGTTCCTCCGTATTATAAACTTCTGGGAATCCAATATGTCATTATTTAACATCATTGGTTGTGATTGTATTTTTATGCTGGAAGATCGTTACGGAACGATAGTTAAATATACTGTAAATTCAGAGTTTTATAATAAAGTGAATAATATAATTATTGATAAAATTCCACTACGAATAGCGCTAATTTCTTTTTATAAAAATTATGAAAATCTATCCTATCAGAAACAATGTATCGCAATATTTATCATTACAAGACGACGAAAAGAAAATAATATGTAACAATGTGATCGCTTTATTTCATCATTTCATTTTTCATGAACTTTTTAATACGTAGTAACAACTAGCAGATACAGCAGATACGTACAAATCATCAATGTAAGTCTGATGTACAATATAATCGCAATTAAACCAGGTATTTAGAAATTCAAGAAAGTGTTATCATTTTATTGGAAATTTATTTTTAAACATTGACTTCCTCGACCTCGACCTGGCACAATCCTGACCCGATAAACTTCGGGAAATTCCTTCATCGATAGTAACGGTTATACAATCCTTAAAATTACTATGCGAAGTAGCAATAATTTCTTTTTTGTTTCTTTCGACAAAAACACTGATGAGCTTAAGATGAGTCACCCCACCACGAGATATTAAGACGGTTGTATTTATTATGTTTGTGAATAAATCCGACCTTTGCAGATATGGATTCGGGAAGTAAATTCGATCCTCCATTTAAAAGAGTTAGTTAGTATTTCCTTGGCAAGGCTCACATCAAGATTTCTGTAACAGCAAAGTTAAAATTTTGTTAAGAGTTTATAATAATTCCTACGTTTAATGATTATATGAAATTAATTAAAAATAAGGTTTATTGTTGAGTCTTTTTGTTTTCTCTATCTATGCTATAGATTTATTCTTTATTGCTATCTCTCAAACAATAGAATTTTAATTTGTGCTAAACCACTTATAAAAATGTTTTTGTATATATTTTTTATATTAAATAATACAAGGTATAATTTATAAAAATATTTCTAGTGTGCATAAAAAGGATATAAAATTATTTTATTTTTTATAAAGTAAAAAAATTTATTTTATTTTAAATTATTAATTGATAACCCTAACCCATTTCAAAATATTTTCGATAAACTTTGTATTTTTTTGACAAATATTTTCTGAATAAAAAAGTATAATATTAAATAGTTTGATGACATTGTTTTATTACCAAGCAATTATCATCTTTTTTAAAAATCAATTTTACCATTGTTGCCGTCATTATTGATTTTTTTTTTGAAATCTCTAATAATTTTAAACATAATTTTAAAATAGAAATATTATTCTTTTCAATAGATTTAAATTAAAAAAAAATAGAATATAAATTTATCAAAGTTATTGCTAATTATCACTACCTCGAAAACGTTAGTAATCACGTATGCAAATTGGTGTGAGACCACTAAAATACAGTATAAACAATCATTCTTAACAAATATGTATACTGTACCGTATAAGCACATATACTTGTATATATTAAACAGTACATCTTGAAAATATTTATTTGAAGAGAATATAAAAATAAAAATAAAAATATTTAATTATATTGTACTTGTTTCGATTAATGTACAGCAAAATGTTTTTTTTTAATGAAACAAAACCAAGGTAAAATACGATATGTACGGAACAAATGAACCGCCAAAATCAGTTGCGAGGTTTAAGTCAAAAAAAAATCATAATACGGAAAATACTGAGAACAATTTACTTATAAACGCATTTATCAAAGAAAAAGAAGGCAATTAATATAACTCAAAGCTTACTTCCAGAAATTATAAAAGATTCAAGAGTCCAGAGAATTATACGCTTTGGAGTATTTCTTAGATAAAGATTCGAGCGATGATTGACATGATATTCTCCGGAATCCTTGAAAGCTAGGTATTATTTATTCATTATTATTTCAAATCCGTTCTGTCAATTAAAAACTTTTTTTATTCAGGAACAGAACTCTTAATGAAACTCATGAATATTATTTTCATGAAGAAATTGCTTCGGGTCAATATTTGAAATTAAAATAATTTTCCAAAAGGCATCGCGTTGACATCAAATAGTTCATGTTTTGTTTTATTAGCCAAATTAATCATAAAAAATCGAGTGAATTATTATTATTTTTTTTTTAACAAAAAAAGGCGCTTGAAGAAACTATTATTCCTATGTATGAAAAGGTCGGGAGGTTTTTATATCAAAATGATTTTTTAAATATTGATATCATAAACTTTGAAATCGTCATATGTTCAGAATGCGCTTTGTCTTTTGTGCTAACACTAGACCCATATATATGGAATTGTTAAACAACACATTCTTAACACACATTTACAAATTATGATCTATTATGATTAAATAACAATCAAAATTGGAAGCAAGTAACCACATTGTCGTATAAAGAACATTTTCTGAGAAAAATAATTCAAACAAAATGTTTGAGTCTTGTAACAATGAACAAATTACCCGATGCATGACGATAGTCATGCAAGGGTTATTATCACGAAGATTATCCTACATGTGACTTTTGTAGTACG